GCCGGGGATCGAACCGGCGCTGCCGAGGCTGCGCCACTGAGGAGGCCCATATTTTATTTATTTTTTGAAGCATATTATTATGAATCATTTAACTCCAGCTAGTGAGATGTTATTGGTAAAAATATGTTATTCACATAGTACCTTTAAAATGAAGGCACATGTCCACCCCTCCTCCTTTACCCCTTTATTACTTGCAATAAGATAGATGTGATGATAAGCCATCTTAGACTCTTAAGAAGAAAAAAAGCAATATCTTTAGAATGGGCAGACTGAAAAATCATAGAAGGGAAACTGGGTTCCCAGCATATGGAGTTGTTATATAACTTTGGAATACCTGTTCTTCTATCTTATTTGGCTTTTACTTGTGGCCACTGAAACAATAACCAACCACCTGTGTCTTATATGACATATAAGATAAAACATACCTTTCAGAAACCTACATTAAACGTCAGTTTTCTTGGGCAACAATAAAAGAATTTCCACTACGGCCTAGGAAATGTAAATAAACAAGAAAATATGTAATTATGGAAAAGTATACAACCAAACTGTGATTAGCAAAGACATATTTATGGACCTAGATAATGAAAATTTAAAAAATCAAATCATTAACTATTAGAACAATAAGGATTTCAAAATAAGGTCAGTGTACAAAATAGCCTTTACAAGTAATAACATTTGAAAACTTAAAATTTCTATTTACATAATAAAAATAATCATTAAATATCCAGAAATAAACCTTTCAAGAAATGCAGGATGCCTAAAAAGTAGACTGTGGAACATTAAAAGACATAAACCAGAACTAGATAAAAGAAGAATTTGTTTTGTAAATGTGAGTTCATTCCAAAGTTAATATAAATGTCAGTGCAGTCTCAAATACTGACAAAACAATTCAGAAGGAAGTAAGGGGGGGAGAGGAAGGAAACTAAAAGAGAAAAGGAGTAGAGATGCCAAGGAAGGAGAAGAATGAATGGAAAGAGAACATTTTCTCTAACATGCATCAAAACATGCTATAAAGCTGTAATAAACATCATAATTGATGCAGGGGTGAATACATAGAGCATTGAGACAGAATAGGAAGTTCTGAAAATAGATTCATATGTATGAGAATTTAGAACATAAAATTTGATTTTGCATTTCAAATCACCTTCAGGGTCTAGTAGTCAATAGCACTGGAGAAGTTACTGTCATTTCAGAAAATAAAAATGTTAGCAATATACTTCATATAACGCACACATGTTATGCATTGATATAAAATCCAAGAGTAAAAGAGAAAATGGTTAAAGCATTGCACAAATTTTCATTATCTTGAGATGGGGGGAAAAAACTCCATGATCTATGCATAAAACCTAAAATCAATAAAGGACATAACTAAAAAACCTAATTATTTAAAAACACCTAACTGTAGGGGAAAGATACTATATACTAAGTTGAAAGGCTAGTGATAGTGTGAGAGAATATTTGCATATATATAACAGACAAAATAGTATCTAGGCTATATAAAGAATTCCTGCAGATCAGTGAACAAAAAACAAATAGCCCAATAGAAGGAAGAACAAATAAAAATAATTCACCAAATCAAAAACACAAATAGCCAACAAACAGAGATGTACAGTCTCACTGGGAATCCAGGAAATGTAACACAAGCAAAAAATAAACAATTTCTTGTCTACTGGATATTCATCTGAGAAGTTATGAAAGATCTTTAAAGATGTAAGGTGTATAAAACCCAAAATTGACAAGATTCTTTGGAAAAATATTCTTGCATGCTTTTGAATGGAATGTAAAAATGATACAGTATTTTGATGAGCAGTATGACAATTTCTTTGTTAGAATGGATTTAAGATAATTTGGTATCCATTTTTGAAAGACATAAAAATAAAATGAGATTATGGTAAATATATCAAACTATCATTCATTGATATATTAAAAAATATTTCTTCGTATATGAAAATATGTCATATTCTGAAATTGGCAAAGTATTTCCTAGGAAGTAAGACTCCCACAAAAATCAGGAATAAATCAAGTATGTCCATCAATATTACTATTTAGTATTGTTCATGAAGAATGTATAGTTTAAGAAAAGGAAGTATAAAAATTGGAAAAATATAGATGAAGTTATCTGTATTTACAAATATGATTGAATTTCTAGAAATGAATGAGGAAATAGCTGAAAAATTTCTATAAGAAACTTTAGTAAGCTAACTATATATCAACAATATTTACATATAAAAGATACATATTTACATATAAAAGTCAGTATGAGAGACAACCAACAACAACAACCAAAAATAAAAGTAAACTGCACAGGAATAAACTAGATCTTAAAGTTAAAACTTAAAAATAATCCTTCTGAAGTCTTAAACAACTGGAAGGGAATACCATGGCCTTTGATTAAGAAGATTCAATATCCTAAAATATTATGTAATCCAAATAAAAATTAATATGATTCTAATACAATAATCAGCAAGATTTTTCTTAGGGGAGGGGCTTGGTGATCTTGGAAAAACTTATCTTCAAAAATGAGTCCTGACACAGAAACATTAATTCCAAAGGGTACCTGCACGCCTTTGTTTATAGTAGCACTATTTACAATAGCTAAGCTATGGAAGCAACCCAAATGCCCAAAAATAGATGACTGGATCAAGAAGATGTGGTACATATACACAATGGAATATTACTCAGCATTCAAAAAAGATAAACACATGCCATTTGCAGCAACATGGATGGCACTGGAAGGGATCATGCTCAGCGAAATAAGCCAGAAAGAAAAAGAAAACTACCGGACGGTCTCACTCATAGCAGGAATTTAGAAAACCTAAATAAGGGACCAGGAAAAAGACTAATCAATACAAAGTAAAAAGCAAAATCAGCAAGCAACTATAAACCAGAGACACACTGGGAGGGGGGGAGGGAGGGGCAAGGGGAGGAAGGACTAGAGTCAAAGTAAGTGGGGGGGGGTGCAATTGGGGTGCAATTCATATATAATTTCATTATATATGAAATTCAATCATATATATGGGGAATATAACCAAAATGAAAATGCATACATTGTGCAAAGATGAAAAATGATGTAAGAATTATATAAAATAAAATTTAAAAAAAAACTTTTCCTCATAAAAACAAAAACTGAGTCCTGAAAAAGGAACTAGCACAGTATCTATACAAATACACTAGAATAAGAATGAAGGAAACAGGAAAAGTAAATGCAAGAAAAAAAGTTTCAATGTAGGTTAAGTTGCTACAGAGCAGATGAAAATATTATATTATGAATTAAATATACTGATATACAAATTTATATGTGTACTTAGCTCACCTCTGTGCAAATAAATTTGAAAACCTAGGTGAAATGTATATATGTATATATACATATAAAAGCTGAATCTAAAGTTTATATGGAAAACTAACAACCAAAAATTACCAAGAAGTCTGAAAAAGAAGGGTAAGAAGACGGAGATAGCCCTACCAGATGTTAATTTTAACATTTATTATGAAGCCACACAAGTTAAAATGTTATGAAATTAATAAAAAGAGAGGTGGAACAAAATAGAAAGCCCAGAAACTAACCTAAATATATATGAGATCAGTGGGAGAAAGGTGGATTATTTAATAAGTGGTGATGAGACATCTGAATATGATTTTATGTAGTAATTGCCTAAATGATTGTAAGGGGATAAAACATTTAAAATGAAAAGTAAAAACAGTATCAGAAAAAAATCATGATTTGAAAATGAATATACCTCAATGTGACAAAATTTTTAATAAATATCACTAAATTCAAAGTGAGAGGGGAAGATTGAGTTCATGAAAAAAAAATTTTTCATTGACATAACACTAATAACTGTCACATATATACATAACAGACAATATAAGTTCCTAATATATAAACTCATAAATCACTAAGAAAAAAGCAAAAAGATGACAAAGATATAATTATTTCAATTCTCATTGACAATCAACTTTGTTTTTTTATTAAACAAATTAAACTTAAATACACAGTGACAAAAAAGACAACACTGATACCAGATTGGTGTTTTGATTATGTGGGGTAAAACAAGTCCTTTGATAAGTTCTTTGTGGAGGTCTAAGTTGGTACTCTCTGGGAGAGGGTCAGGATTAAATAACTTTCAAGAATTATAGTTATACACACCTTTTGGTAGAGCATTTTCACTTCTGGGGATATATCCTAGAGATGTAAAAATGTGTATGTGAACATCATTATTTGTTGTAACATTGTTTCCTGGCAAAAGACTAAAAACAGCCTAAATATTAGCTAGCTTACTCTCAGTTCACTTAACTAGGCACTTAGGTCCAGAGCTTTGTCCACCCAAAAAAAAGCTGTCCTTTTCTTACGCACAAAGAGGGTGGTTTATGTTATCGTTTATTAATTTTCCAGGGTATAACTTAAAAACTACTATAAAGCAATCCAAGATTATGATTTTTTTCAACCCTTTATTGTTACTTTGCTTACATAATATCTAAATGAAGTTTTATCCAATTTGTCTTTATAAAGTTCTTCCAAAGCACTTCGAATCCAATTTTAATCAATAGAAACAAATATTTCTGTCAGCCTATATCAACAGCTTATGTAATAATGAATTAACAATTAATGAATTAACAGGTAACCTACCTGTTAACACTCATCTACAGACATTTCAAAATAAATGGAACTGACTCATATCAGCTCAGCTGGTGGTAGTATTTGTGTTCTGGCATGATGAAAAATAGTCTATCTGCTGCAAGCATTGAACTACTAAGAATCAGTTAGTGAATGTGAAAGAGAAATTGGAGGGTTTTGGTTAATCCAGCAAGTTGGTTAATTTGTCCTTTAGGAGAACTCTTTTGCATACTGATAGTAAAGAGAAATCTATTATGTTCCAAAATAAATCAGAGTAAAGCTAATAAAAAGTGATTTGGTATCATCTTCACATTTTTAAGTTATGAGTACTTTATCTTCATTTATGACTTCCATATGAGCCCACATTCTTTCCAATGTGTTACAGGCTTTGGTCAAAGAATTACAAAATGATGTCCATCAGGTAAGGCGACATATCAGAGAGCTTAAAAAAATGCAGAAAAACCAGGATGCTTGTAAAACTTCAACCCATAAAGCACAGACCTTGGCAGCTTCTATCCTTAACATTTCACGATCAGATTTAGAGGAAATACTGGACACAGAAGATGAAATGGTAAGATCATTTAAAATATTTATCAATAAATGGATTTTTATACATTGAATTTAACCATAGGTGTTTATTTGTTATTCTAATTCTTAGAATTTCATCTTTAAGATAATCTTAATGAAGGTGAGATTATTCATGTGTCAATGAAAGATACATGAACTAAGTTTAAAAAAAAGTAATTTAAGTATGAAATATAGAAATAAGCCAAAAAAACATATATCCTTTAGAGCTGCTTGTTTTAAGTCAGTTCCTGTCCCCTCCATTTTCTTTATCTTAATCATATATCTTATATATCTAACATTTTTAATTGAGTGTGAATGGATTTGGTTAAACTGGGTCATCATTGATTTGAGGATTATTTCCTTCTATATGACAGTTTTATTTTTTTTTTTAAGAATTTTTTTTTTAAGATTTATTTATTTATTTATACAAGCACTGGGTACAGTCAGAAGCGCGGGAGGGTGAGAGAATACACCAGAGCCAGAGCAGGGAGCAGAACAGACAGAGGGACCAAAGTACACTGCTGAGGGGAGCAGCGGGCGGCAGGAGAGGTCTGCGCGCGCCATGTGGGACCCTTGCTGGCGGCCTGGGATCAAACCGGCGCTGCAGAGGCTGCGGGCAGCTTCCCAGCCCAGCGCTCAACCGCTGCACCACCAGGGGAGAGCCCCTATATGACAGTTTTAAATAGTAGTAAATCTATTGGTTTTCCTAGATATATTCAAAATTACTGTTAATAAAATTAAAAATATATATATTTATTACTTCAAATTGATTAAAATGCTCCTATTTGTGTGAATTTAGGTCTTTGTAGCATTTCCCCTTCGGGGAAAGCCAGTTATTTTTGACCAAGTTATTGACTCATAAACATCAGAATCTCACTATATAGTCTTCTGTGGCATATACTCAATCTGTTTTATTATTAAGTCTCTGAACTTTAATACATGAATATTAGAACTTTAATACATGAAATTAGAATTTATCATTTGGAAAGATTAAATAGAAAAAGGTGATATTAGCTTCCCAGTAAGCATTTGCTCAATGAATCAATAAACTGAGAGACTTAAATGTTTGTATAAGAACTTCCTCCAGCCCTTGTTAGCTTCTCTAAGAACTTCTGGAGTAGAGCAGACCTACAACCTGCAAAGGTTTTGAAATGGCTAACAATTCTTAGAAAAGAGGTCAAAGGAATCCTCAGAGATCATTTCTATCCTGTGGAACAGTAATAGTGAATTATCTTCAGTACCCATGCCACAATGTCTCACTTTCTAGGGAAATTTGAACTTTGAATTGCAGGAATATTTCCAGATGGAGTATCACATATAAGGCACACAAGAAATAATAGTATCTCTGGCAAGAGTGTTAATTATACTTTACTATGGGCAGCTGACTAAAATTTGTTGGTTTGTAATGAGAAATGTAATGAAAGTTAAGATTGATGCCTAGATCCACTCTTACCTAAATGTTTTGGTTTTTTTTTTTAATCAGTGGTGTCCTTATATGTGGATAGAGAAAACAAACAAAGTTCAGATAAAGACAAACTTAAAAGTTAACGCTTAAAAACTGACTACAGAACTGAGGCTTGTGGAGGGTGAGGAAAAAATGGGGAAGAAGCACAGTGGACTGTGGTGGTGGATTGTGGGTTACATTGGAGTACTACCAGTAACTACACCTCAAGTCAAGGATTTATACTTCCAAAATACCAACAACGATGAAAACCAAAGTTACCTCAATAAAAAAATTAATTACTAAAGAAACTGTTGAACTTGATGTTACAACATTGGCTGTTCATATCAAAAGTTACAATCCAGGATAAGAAAGGAAAGATGTGGGAAGAAGAATGTATGAGCTGAGGGAGGTAAGAGACAGGCAGCCTCTAATTAATGGGAAAGTGCAAATATTTTGACCATTACATAAAAGAGGAAGATGCTAAAAATAAAAAATAGCAAAATCCTTTATATTTGTGCATGTATGTGCACTAGTACAAATACATATTCTGGAAAATAGGGCCACCATCTTGTGCAGCTTCAAAAGATATCCTCCATAGGTTTGCAAAATAGAAAAAAACACTCCCTCCGAATGGACAAATTAGGAATAGTAGTCCCCTTTGCACATATGAATTAAAAAAGGATGTCTCTAGTCCCAGAGTAGGTGGCACATTTCTGTGGGAAAAAAAAAAAAAATGTCACCCTGGCTTTTACGTAGATGCAGCCTGAAGGCAGAGCACACAGCACTGTAGTACACATACCACACAACCTCCAATGGAAATCCTCCTGGAAGTAAAAGGACGTAAGTAGTAATACTGTCCTGAGAAGGATCAGTGCACCTTAACATATTACCAAGTGTAATTGTAGAGCCAAGCTTGCTTAGACTGACCCTTGCATCTTTCAGAGGTTCAAAGAGTTGAGTGACTTACACAAGCAGAACCCAAACCACCTGGCATACATTCTTTGAAATGCATCATACTCTAGTATATTAATGTAAAAAATTGTGATGGTCTGTATGAAGTTCCTAGCCTGATACCTGACATGTAGGAAATTCCAACAAGCATTTTCCAAACCTTTCCCTCTTTAAAAAGTCCATTTTCTTATAAACTGAATCTTGGTTTTAAATGAATAACCAGTCGCATGTGTGAATACCTTGTAATTTCAGAAATATCTTACTTTCATAGTTAATGAGTTGAAGATATTTAGTGACTCCTAACATTTTAAGTTGGACTACTCCTTGCCTATGAATAAGCCTTTGAATATTTTAAACAATCATACATTTAAATACACCAGGGCCCTGCCTAGAAACATTCTGTTTATAATAATTACTCCTTATTTATCTATAAACAAATCAGATTTTTTTGTATTATCTTTGTTACCTTCTAAGGGTCACTTGTAGATGATTTTTCATACAGCACCATCTTAATTTTCTCCTTATTTTAGTCATGTTCACCTCCACCTCGGTCCTACCTTGAGTTCCACTATTAAAGCAGTGATAAAATATTCCCGATTTATATTGGGAAGTATAGAAATATAGCTTTATCTCCCACATATATGTAAATAGTTATCAATTAAATATTTAAAAACACGGATTTAAATATTCTCTACTGTGATAGGACATGGTGCTCTTTTTAAAATCCAGTTCTACCAATATATCTCTAGCTTGATTCAGTATCTAATAACTGATCAATAGTATATAAATGCAATTTACACCAGTATTCGTGTTTTCTTCCTTTAGGAGATGGAAAGGACAAGGATAGATGCTGAACATGACAAGGAATGGCTGTTATACATTCAGAAACTGCTTGAAGGACAGGTATTTCATTTTTCTGTTCCTCATACTAAAACTTCCAAATGATAACTCCAAGCCTTCCATTTTTACCATATTTCTAACTTTTGTACACACTTACACATTATTTTACTTCTGTTAGGTAAAGAAGTACTCCAGTAGATAGAGAGGAAAGTTAACCCTCTATTTGTTCTTTTGGACTTAACAAATGAAACAAATGCCTTGGGAAAGAGCCAACATGGGTCTTAGCAAATGCATTAATTAAATTATTGAGTCAGCCTGTATGCTTGCTAGTCTGAAAAGGATCCATTCTCTCAGCCCTCTCAGGAAAAGAGATTCTTTATTATGTGTCTTTAAAGTTAGTTGTTGATATGGACACCTGAGGAGTTCATGGGTTTCAGTGACCTTTTACTATGGACCTGTTTCCAGTCAATTCATGTTTTCCTCACAGCCAGACAGCTGTTTATTACTGTGTCTTCCCGCATTCTCTACAATATTTTCTACTGAGACCTCGAGCTGCTTGTTAGTGGGAAGTAAATATTGATTTGGCATCCTGTCAATGCAGAAAGAATGAAAAAATTTCCACCAGAGGCCCCTCAAACATTTTCCTATCGACATTTTCTGGGCCGAGTGGAAAGCTGCATAGAGGATGACAAGGCCAAGACGAGTTGAAATCCCTGAGGGGTCTATTGAGACTGCTGCTGTGACCTGTGTGATACTTTTTCTTCCCTTTCAAGTATTTTTTTAATACACATGCAGTCTGCTGGGATGTGCCCCTCTTGTAAGTGATCAAGGGCAGTTTATTGGCAGGTGAGAGCCCTGCTTTTCTAGTCATAGCCAGCTTTTGTTTTGACATCACTGACAGCATGTAATGTATTCTAAAACTTTTGCATTACAGTTCTTTTTGCTCAACCTAATTGTCTATTTTAAAAATGAACTGGAATCTAAGCAACTAAAACATACTTCTCAAAATAGCAAACAAAATTACTATTGTCTGGTGAGTTTTGGAAGGTCTTTGTAACTGTTTCTAAGTAGCAGTTATTTTATGTTCATATTAGCAAATAACGGTATCTATACTTTTGGGGAAGTCAAGAATAAGTAAATAATATGTGAACTATTCATAGCCTTAATACCAGTCAGTTTGAAATATTTTTGAAATCTTATCCAGAATCATTTAAATAGTCATAGGTGATTGACATTTATTTGCTTAAAGTTGCTGAAATACTATTGTGCGGGTGCTAGACAAAGCCTTCAATGGTAATGACTTGCTTTTGAAATGAAAGGCCACCATTTCCTAATCATGCTTAGCACATGGTTACTTAGCACATTAGTTAGCACATACCCCAGTGTCTGACACACAAAGTTCAGGAATGATTGTTTTGGGGTATAATTTTCAGCTTGAAAAAGATAAACTTTTCAATGAACTTTTAAAATGTTCAACTTGGGCCTCCCCTGGTGGCGCAGCTGTTGAGCGCTGGGCTGCGAAGCTGCCTGCAGCCTTTGCAGCGCCGGTTCGATCCCTGGCTGTGGGCGAGGGTCCCACATGGCGCGCAAACCTCTCCTGCCACGTCCGCTGCTCCCCTCAGCAGTGTATTTCGTCAGTCTGCCTCTTCTGTTCTCTTCTCTGGCTCTGGTGAATTCTCTCACCCTTCTGCGCTTCTGACTGTACCCAGTGCTTGTATAAATAAATAAATCTTAAAAAAAATAAAAAAATAAAATAAAATAAAATGTTCAACTAGTAAATATGACCTTTTAATATAAACTTATCAGTTGTGAACAAAAAAGATCCATATGGATAAATAGCAAATTTTACTAAAATTAAACAAACACTGGATCTGATTTTTTTTTACTAACACATGTGTGTATATGTGTATATACATATATGTGTATATACAAATACATATGTGTGCACATGTATATGTACATTCTACATTATCTGGATGTATGCTTACTCTGTCCAGTTAGTATATAAAAAAATCCTGTTGAAAATGGCATTAGACCACTTAATACTGCAGCTTGATATAGTGCCTTTTTGTGCCACTGAGCCCGGACTCTGGAATATAATTGCCTGGCAGTATTGATTTAATTGCCCAGGTTTATTTGTGGACTCCTAATTATTGACTGGAGGTAAATTTAATGGAGCAGCCTTTATGAACACTGGGAAACCGCTGTTGTTGCTGTTATACATAATGAAGTACATCATGTGCCTTTACATCATTTTTCAAGCTAATTTTATTCCACTGTGACAGTATGATAACATTTTAAAAGTCAAAGACTTCTTATTTTTATTACTGACATAGGTGGTTTTGCTGATGTCTTTGAATTTTGTGAGAAAAAAACATAGGGACTTCATTGGTTGCACTTGAATGTCACTTTATCATTATACCCAAGAGAAAAATCTGTAAAATAGAAAACATCTTTTTTTAACCTACTTTTCTTCTTTTTACTTTTCTTCTTTTTTTAACCTACTTTTCTTCTTTTTCAATTCCAGCCATTATATTTGTCCTGAAAAGGTTTTCTTTTTTGTCCACCAACTTTTTCACTCTAAGTTATGCTCACATTTACAAAAGTGTAAATGTGTTCTTCCATGCATTTTTTTTCCCATTTATGATGTACAACTCTGTGTAACTGAAGTTACATGATCTTCAAGCTGTGGAAAAGTTAAGCACATTCCCTAAAAAATACTAATTAGTTCAGTATTGATATTTTATTATTAAGATATTTTCAAGATACAATTTTAAGAAAAGTTCTCTTTTATATCCTCCCTCTGTTTTGGGTGCTGGATGTACTAGAATTCTGAGATCATAGGAATGAGTCTGGCTTTGTGATTTTATTTTTTGTTTATTATGCCACAGAAGAGCTTTCTAGTAAAGAAAATTTTCTCTGCATTCATTTGGTAAAAATTTATAGTGATAAATTATTTACCACAAAACAAAAAGCTGTGCTGCAATATGAGATTACACAATAATAAAATATCTTCTGTTACTGTTAGCAGAAATGTATGAGAACCAATAGGCCTAATACATTAACTTATCTATTTTTAAGAATGCAAATATATGTCCTCATTATTTCAGGTAGTCCAATTGCAGTGGGTAATTTTATACATTTGATTTTTTTTAAAAAGATTTATTTATGCATACAAGAACTGGGGTACAGGCTGGAGGTGTGGGAGGTGAGAGGATTCACCAGAGACTGAACTGGGGAACAGAACGGGAAGATTGACTGAAATACACTGCTGAGGGGAGCAGCGGGCAAGTCAGGAGAGGTCTGCCCTGCCATGTGGGAATCTCCCTGGCCAGCCAGGAATAGAACCGGTGCTGCAGAGGCTGTGGACAGCTTCACAGCACTGTGTTCAACCCGCTGCGCCACCGGGGAGGCCTCTACATTTGATTTTTATCTGCATGTAACCTTTGTCCCCACAGTTTTTCTGCCAGTAAGAATCACACTGAAAAAATAACTTTCTAATAACCTTTTTTTTTTAAGCTTTATTTAGTTATGCATACAGAGCTGGGGTACGGGCCAGAGATGCAGGGGGTGAGAGGATTCACCAGAAACATGGTGGGAAGCAGAACAGGCAGATTGACCGAAGTACACTGCTGAGGGGAGCAGCAGGCGACACAAGAGAGATCTGCTGCGCCATGTGGGTATCTCCTTGGCCAGCCAGGAATCGAAAATAATATTTTATGAAATGGCTTGTAATTCAGGCTTTCCTTAGTCTGCCTCTAAGTTTGTTTCAATTATTTTGTTATAAAATTACAATTGATCCTTATCTATTGAAAATTTTGAAAGCTTATTTGAGAGTCCTATTTGTAAATGCCAATGAACTACAAGTCGTAAATAGCAAGTAAATGAACACTGAGTTTAGAATATAAACGTTAGAGTTGGTTTATAAAAAAAAGGAAAATCGAGAAGAATTAAACAGCTCCAAATATCTCCAACTAATATTATATAAAGATACATAATATTCTTCTGGTCTGTTTGTGGAGAAAAATAGAACTTATAAGGGCAGATGGATGTACATGTACTGTACATCTTGACTGAAGGTGATTTGGTGTTTGAAATCCGTAGTGTGTTAGTCTCCATACAAAGCTTAAAAGACGCTTACAATCCAATAAACAGGATTGACAAACAGTTGCATTTAACTGTGGGGTGTTTTGTTTTAGTGGGAGATTGAGGAAGAAAATAAAAGGGGTTGTTGGCAATAAATTACTAAATGGCTTTTTGTTCCACCATGGAGGCTTCCTGGAAGAGAAGTTCTTGAGGTTATATTTCTTAAAGGGAGCAAAATGTCTAAGAATGTACATGCCATGTTGAAAACTGTTAATACACAAGATAATAAAAGTAGGTTTAGATTTTAACTTCAAAATGAAATCTGCAAAAAAAGATGAATCTGCAAATAAGATGATTAGTGTCAGTGCATTGTGCCCCAAAGTGCTGTGACACAGCAAAATATAGAATCAGCATGTTTCCTTAAATATGTTCCATGGATCACTAGTTCCATGTGAAAACTAGACCATCAGAAAAGTGTGGCCAGATGAATTTAAAAAATGGTTATTACATTGCCCTCTTGGAGAAAGACAGTGCCAGTTAGCATATTAGAACCTTTAAGAGATCCTGAAATAAAAGAACTTATAAAGATATGGTTTGTTTCCCAAACTTACGTGATCAGAGAACCCTGTTTTTCTTAGACCAACTTTAGGAAATGGCGTATTAAACACTTGTTTCTGCTTTTGTTTCTACCAGGAAGAAATGAGAAGTTATTCTTATTTGTCTGCTTTTTTGATAGGAGTATATAGGGTACTGAGTGCAATGTTCAAAATATAAGAAAGTTTCCTAGTAGTTTATAATTTTTCATGTGTGCATTTCTTTAACATTTGCTATTAATTCCCTGAGAATTTAAATTACATTATTTGTAAAACTGGAAGGGTGTTAAACTAGAAAGCTATTTAGGCTCTAAGACAGTCCTGTGCACCGGCTATGGTTCTCTGTTTCTCCATGGCCTTCACAATCTGTTTGTGCCCGTATTTTCTTTTTCCCATTTCAAATTCAATAAAAAACCATTCTGTTTGGTTTACAATTACTACAATCACATGGCTGAGCATAGCTGAAGCTGAGCACAGCTGAACAACACATACAGAGCATCTCAGGCTGTTTCTGCTCAGGCGCTGGCAGTAACACTGTCAGTGGTCACCCAAGAACAGCAGAGGGTCTCATGCTACCTTACTGTGTGGGAGGGGACTGGATTTGACAAGTGTTCTCGTTGATAAGTTCAGAGAAACAAAAATAATCTTTCCCTTGTTAATCAAAAGGACAACTCTGGAAGAAAGGACTTAGTGAACGTCTTAATTATTGTAAACCTCTTACCTGACACTGGATTAGCTACGAAGGAAGAAAAAAGGAAGTTGGTAGGGCCGTGGGAGGTACCTGGGAAACATTTCAGATTCTCTTTTACTCACAACCCAGAAGTGTTTTGTATGGGTTGAGGTTCCACAGGCAACCCTGTGAAGCAGAGGGAACAATAAAACTTTGCCAGAAGAGCTATATAAATTATGAAATTTAAAGATGTACTCTACATTTTATAAACTCAGCAGTTTGCAACATGTGTATTACACTTTGATATGCCAAACAAACTTTTCTATAACAACTTAATCAATGGGTATACTTTTGCCATTTTTTTGCCTCTGAAATTTTACCTTACAACTCTTGAGATGTTCTGCTCTAACACAGACAAGTGTATTGATAGTTCTCTCTCATTCTTTTATGAGTGATGAACATACAGTACTACTTCTGTGGGCCTGTGGGCCCTAGAGATGACTGTAACCTGCTATTGATCAGCTGATTGAAGATAAATGGCTTAGCTGCTTGTATTGCAGATTACATCATTAACATGGTCAGTAAACCATGAATTGTTCAATAAGGCGTTTATCTTTTTTCATTTTACTTCTGCTCTTTTATCATTTTTATTATAAAAGATAAAATTACCCACACTAACCAGCAAGATAAGTTGAGAAGAGACCCAGTAGGTGCATTATGGGTGCAAAGTTGTAGATTGCTGAGTTCTAATGGTTTAGCAATATTTAGTGTATGTTTTTAGACTGAAGAAAATATAGAGTTTTGATAATCTTCTTTTCTCTGTTTCTTTTACAGCTTCCTTTTGCTTCATATTTACTAGAAGCAGTACTGGAAAAAATAAATGAAAAAAAGAAGCTAGATGAAAAATATTTCACAATTATGAAAGATAATAGATGATATTATAATGGAGAAATTTTTTCAAATGTGAAAACTTTTTATATGGTGTGATTGGAAAACATGCATTGCAATCCTGATACAGTATCTGTTCCAACTATCAATAGTCAGGTTCAATACCAAAATAAGAATTCTCTGAAACTAATTAATTGCTGAACAAGTGAAACAAATTAAGTGCCTAGCCATTTAAAAGGAAATAGTGTAGCATTTGATTGTTGAATACAAATATTGCCACAAATCAATGCAAACTTAAGCATGATTTTCCTTCCAGTGCATTAGAAGAAATTCGAACAAGCTTGACACACACAATTTAGCTCTAAATGTAAAAATAAAAAAGTATAAACTGAGGATTTAATGTTTTAAATTTTGTTTTAAATTTTAAATTTTGTATATAGACTTTTATATAAAACTGCTATACATGGGCTTAAGTCATTCAAGGAGCAACATATTTGTTTTGTAAGCAGATATAAAATGAACCACCAAAACTTAAGGATAAACATTTAATTCAAGTGTGTTGTCCAATGGTATCTGTTATTGTCACAATACTGGATGATATAGGAGATCTACTGTGTTTTCCTAAAACTATTTGACAAAAAATGAGAACATTTTCTTCTCCTCTCTTTCTCTTTTTTTAAGTTAAAAATATTATGTGTGGTCATATAAATTAGCAAGGACCACAAACCCAGTGTATGAAATTACACTAGACCTAGCAGAACTCCTACTAATTAATTTAAGCTAATTAATTAAACTAATTAAAGTTACATTTTTAAACAGTGTTATCCTTATTTCCATTCCCCAACATTCCCGCCTCATTTCACCTCTTTACTATGTTTCAACCACACCTGACTGTCTTGGTTCCCCTTACTCATCAAACTTCTGCCTGTACCCAGCCTTTACCCTTGTTGTTCTCTCTTTCTAGAATACTCTGTATCAACTTTTCTCTCCACTGACTTCATTCATTCTGGTTCACCTTGCACAGTCCCTGAGAGGCACATTCCTTTGTCCTTAAATCTATTAAATTTTCTTTGAAATACAAAAATATCTAGATTATCTGTTTACTTATTTACTTCCATGTCTCCACCTCCTCCCACCAGAATTTGGTCTGCCACCTATTTTGTGTAGCCCAAAAGCTAAGAATAGTTTTCACATTAGTGAATGGTTAAAAAAAAAAATCAAAAGTAATGTTTTGTAGCACATAATATTTATATGAAATTCAGATTTTGGTCCATCAATAAAGTTCATTTATGTATTGTTTGTGACTGCTGTCATCTGACAGCGGGGGCAAGTATTGGTGCAGCATTTTGGGTGCCGCAAATACTGTTATATCATGATTATTTTTAATATGTATGCATGCTCTTCTTTTTTTTTTTAAAAAAAGATTTATTTATTTATACATACATACATACATACATACATACATACATACATACAAGCACTGGGTACAGTCAGAAGCGCGGGAGGGTGAGAGAATTCACCAGAGCCAGAGCCGGGAGCAGAACAGGTAGAGTGACGAAATACACTGCTGAGGGGAGCAGCTGGTGGCAGGAGAGGTCTGTCGCACCATGTGGGACCCTCGCCGGCAACCGGGGATCGAACCGCACTGCAGAGGCTGTGGGCAGCTTCCCAGCCCAGCACTCAACTGCTGCACCACCAGGGGAGGCCCTGTATGCATGCTCTTCTTGTCAAAAGAAAATAAGAAAGGAAAAATGGCTGTCAGTTATCACATGTTTAAGGTATAGTGGAGTGTGGATTATTTTACTTTGAAATAGACAACAAAGCATTATGTTTATGTACAGTAACGCTATACCTGTGCCAAAAGAATGTGATATTTATCAACAGTAACAGATTAAGTACTCATCACAATATTCTCAACTCACAGGAAAGCAATAGTACATAGTCTGAAATGTAGTATCACAACGATTTAGTTACAAAGATAAAAATGAGACTTCACTGTATTGCCAAAACTATTAAATAAAGACAGTACAAAGAAAGAAAGCATGGTAAGTGGAAAACATCACCTTTTTTTAAGATGTTCTTAATCCTTGCAACCTGTGAATTTGTTACCTGGTGAAAGGACTTTCCAATGTAATTAAATTAAGAAATTTGAGGGATTATCCTGGGTTATCTTTAGGTCTAATGTCTCCTAAGCAGAAAGCAAGAGGAGTTATAGAGCAGTCTTGCCACTGAAGCAGCAGGACAAAGAAATTTGAAGGTACTATTCCACTAACTTTAAGAATAGAGGAATGGGGTCGTGAACCAAAGAATGTTGGCAGCCCCTGGGGATGGAAAAGGAAAGAAATGAATTCTCCCTTACAGCTTTCAGAAAGAATCGGCATTATTGAAACACCTGACTTCAGCCTGGTGAAAATGACTTTGAACATCCAAAAATCTAAGAGAATATATTTCTGTTATTTTAAGTCACTGAGTTTGTGGTAATTTGTGAGTGCAGAGACCAATAAATGCAATTTGCTAAAACTATGTTCAGGATTTTGATATCTATATTTCTAAGGGATATTGACTGTAAGATACAAGATCAAGGCTGATGCAGAATTCAAAAGTTAACCAATGTAAGCTACCATTTTAACAGGTTAATGAAGAAATAGGGTATGATTATAAAATTGGAGCAAAAGAATTTGAAAAATTCAACACTAATGCATGAGGGAAAAAAACACAAAACTAGGAACTTCCTCGTTTTGATATGAACATCTACAAAACATCTGCTACTAACATTATACTTAATAATGGAAGACTGAACATGTCTTACTAAAATGAGGAACAGAATAGAACAAAAGACCAAACAGAGCAAAACACTGACCCCACCACCCCTCCCCCGAAGCAAGAGAGACTTGTGCCACCATACAACCTTTGGACTTGGACTGCAACATTGGCTGTTTCCGGTTCTCCAACCCGCGTCCACCTTGGAAATTTCGACTTGCCAACCTCCATAATTATGTGAGCCAATCACTTAATACAAATCCCTCTCACCACACATCCTATTGATTCTGCTTCTTTGGAGAATCCTGGCTAATATACCAGGTTTGGGCGATATCATATACAGTCACTATGGACCTTCACAAATAGATTTTTGTATGAACAAGTTTTCATATCTCTAGAATATCCACAAGTTCAATTGCTACATCACATAGTAAGTATGTGTTTCACTTGGTAGAGGTTGCAAAAATGTAGTTACTACACCATTTCACAGCCTCACCAAAAATATCTGAGAGAGCAAATTGGTTAGCCTCCTTTGCAAGACTTGGGTATTATTGGTATTCTTATTTTAACCACTCTAATAGGAATGTAGTGATAATACTTTTTTTTCTTTTTCAGTTCTATTCTCTCCTTAATCATATTTAAGTTATTGCTTTTAGTTCTTCTACCTCCAAAGCCTGCATTTGTGGTCTTTTCAGGGAGCATGGGCTGATAGGAGCAGGGTGATTGGGGTTGGTGGGGGACGCAGTATTCTAGACCAATTACTTGACCAAAGAACTTCCAGTAATCATGAACTTTACAAGGAATTTATAAAAAGCAGTTCTGTTCATTATTACTGTATGGCAAATTGCAGGGTGGCAGTTATTATGGATCAGGAATCTGAGCACATCTTAATCACATCTTCACACTCTTGGAGGGCTGCAGTCAATCAAGGCTTGATTCAGAAGGACGCATTTCCTAGCTCACTCATGTAGTTGACAGGATTTTCAGGCTATGTTAATGAGGTCTTAGTGCCTACTAGTTACCAATTAGAGACTGCCCTCAGTTCTTTGCGACATAGATATTTTCAATATGGCAACACACTTCATCATACGCACACATACACATGCACCTATGCCCGCGTGGAGATAACATGAATGTAAATGACACAATGTGACAGTCATTAGGAGACATTTCAGGTGCTGTCTACCACACCAGGTATCTAGGATTAACAAGATGAAGTGGAGGCTACTAGAGAATTTGCCTTTGAAACCATCTTTTCAAGGTAAGCATATATTTTATTTAGAATGATGATTTACCGTGTTAGTTTGGGGGAAGGAAAGCAAATATAACTTATGGGTTATAAATTTGCAAATGCCTCTTTGGAGCATAAACAAAAGGAACACCACCAAGAGTGGAGTCTTTCATTAAAAGAGGCTCAACAAGTGAATATAAGGAGGCGGTTAACTCTCATCTTTAGAGAACTATAAATATTATTTACTAGTAGAAATACAAATATGCTAAGTAAAATAGAAATTCTAGTTATTCAAATATTCATATGCAATAATTCATAACTGTCTGTAGGGTAAAGAAAATATCAGGCTTTTCTGCCCTTCCGCCATCAGGATAGATGATGGATCCTTGTCCTGAATGCATGCCTGATGGCGGGCACCTGGAATAGGGTGTGGGCATAGGTAGATGGGATTCAGCTGAGCTAAGACTGTACTTTTAAGGGTGGCGTCACGGGGGGACGCCAGCAGCCCCAGCCAGCAGCAGCAGAACCTGAAGGAGAAGCCGAAGCAGAAGCAGAGAACGCCCAGATAGAGTGAAGACTTGCTGGGGGCTGGGAGGCCTACCAGCCTCCCAGCCCCCCAGCCAGCACCCCTGCCTGCCATATGCCTGGTGAACCCCAAATAAAAAACCTGCAAAACTACTGAGGACTCTGACTCCTCCTTTACCCGGTCTGCATGGGATCAGAAAACCTGCACTGTGCTCCAGGTCCTGCCCCTACAATTGGCGTAAGTCGGCAAGATCCATGCAGACGGGTATGGAGCCCTCCGAAGACCTGGAAGGGACTAAGGAGTAAGTGTTTGCCTGTGACGACGCTGGAGGCGCCAGGGCGGCACAGAAGATGGATACGGTCTGGGAGCTGCAGGACGGGACCTGGCATGAAGGAGACGCCCAAGAGGACCAGCCAACGACACCGGAAAGGACAGGCCAATGACCCCTGAGGCAGCAGGCCGTTGCTGATGCAGGGAGAGGCCAATGGACTTCAACTGATGGACATGGACTGATAAACTTGGACTGACAATCCCGCCAGCAGGCGGAGGACCTTGGCAGGTTATTTTTTTTTTTTTTGAGAATCTGGGGGTGGCCAGTGGGCCTAGATGGCCAAAAGCAGCCTGTGCATGCCCAGCAGCCAGGTGGAGGAGAAAAGCCAACTAAGAAAGCAAAAGCTGGTACTGATGATAAGTTGAGAAGCCCTGAGTGGCTGTTAAGCAGCCTGGGTATGCTGAAGAACTGTGAGTCTCGTAAAATCACCTGTGGGTGATGCCCTGCTCATTCTTGAGTGAGGGTGAGGAGCTGAGGAACCTGTCCTTGGGGGACGGGTGGGGAACGTGGCTTGGGGTGGAGGCCAAGCCGAAGAGGGGACCCAAAAGAGGCCGAATGTAGAGTTTGGATCCCCGACCCATGTGCTTGTGCAGTGGGTTGGCCTGAGTGCAGGGGTCTGCGAGTCGCATGGGTGGCCGTGAAGGCCGAGTGTTGGAGCGACTGCAGACAGAAACCCTGAGGGTTGGTGATTACCCCCAACAGAATAAAATTGCCAATCCCAGAGCTAGTGCATCCTGGGGGTGGATGCGGTGTGTGCCTTGTAGCCGAGACTACAGCCAGAGAAGGCGAGGAAGCCTGACTGCTCCTGGTGTGATATAGTAGATGCCGTGAGTGATTCCCCTCCCTCATATGAGCAGTGCCTTCGGCAGCAGATTTGGTGGCTCATCTGCTGGTACCAATAATTGTCTTTTGCTCTAGGTTGGTGCCCTGCCTGGACTTATTTGTGTTCTGTTGTATTTTGTTATATTGTATTTTGTTATATTTGATGTATTTGCTTTTGTGGGCCATGGCTGCATTGTTTGTTTGCTTAGAAAATTGTATATGTATGTATAGACTGTATGGCAGAAAACCCTGAGGGGGTGGACTGTAGGGTAAAGAAAATATCAGGCTTTTCTGCCCTTCCGCCATCAGGATAGATGATGGATCCTTGTCCTGAATGCATGCCTGATGGCGGGCACCTGGAATAGGGTGTGGGCATAGGTAGATGGGATTCAGCTGAGCTAAGACTGTACTTTTAAGGGTGGCGTCACGGGGGGACGCCAGCAGCCCCAGCCAGCAGCAGCAGAACCTGAAGGAGAAGCCGAAGCAGAAGCAGAGAACGCCCAGATAGAGTGAAGACTTGCTGGGGGCTGGGAGGCCTACCAGCCTCCCAGCCCCCCAGCCAGCACCCCTGCCTGCCATATGCCTGGTGAACCCCAAATAAAAAACCTGCAAAACTACTGAGGACTCTGACTCCTCCTTTACCCGGTCTGCATGGGATCAGAAAACCTGCACTGTGCTCCAGGTCCTGCCTCTACACTGTCCAAATAGATTTTATCCCAAATATAATGATTAGGAAATGTATCAATGTATTTAATTATATCAATAGAATAAAGGAGAAAAAAACTTAGGTATATAATAACATGTACCATATTTTATATAATAAAGTGTACTGACAAATAAGTAGGAAATGAGAAAGGGTAAATAGACAAAAAAGATTCTGAGTCTCAAGTTAAAATCAAAAACATTTTTTTACCTCAGAGTGGAAAAACCAACCAGTTCTGGTAAGAGCAGTATCTCCAATTGGCTATCTAATAGCATCTCAAACTTCACATGTCCAAAGCCAAACGCTGCATTTCCTTCACTCCTCTATCTCAGTGAGTGGCAACTCTATAAGCTTTGATTTTGTCGGGTCAAAAATTCTTGGAGGGCCTCTCCTGGTGGCACAGGAGGTTGAGCACAGCACTGTGAAGCTGTCCACACCCTCTGCAGCACAGGTTTGATCCCTGCCAGCCTGCAAGATACCCACATGGCGCAGCAGACCTCTCCTGTCTCACTCGCTGCTCCCCTCAGCAGTGTCTTTGGTCAGTCTGCCTGTTCTGTTCCCCACTCTGTCTCTGGTGGATCCTCTCACCCCCTGCACCTCTGGCCTGTACCCTGGTTCTTGTATGCATGAATAAATAAATCTTTTTTAAAAAAAGTCTTGTAGGCATCCTTGTCTCCCCTTTTTAACATCCCCATCAATCCACCAGAAACTCATCAGTCCATCTATTGACTACTCTCAGAATGTGTCCAGAATCCAATAGGTTACCACCACCCCCATTTTCACTCTAATTCAAGCCATCTATTTGAGCTATGGCAGTTGCTTTAGGTCTCCCTGATACAACTGTTGCTCTAAGACAGAATATTCACCCCCCACCATTCATTTAAAACACATAGGCTCATGTCACTCCTTTGCTCCAAATCTCCCAATTTCTTCCCATCTTACTCTAAATAACAGCAGAGATCTTTCCTACAGCCTCAAGCCCTGTAAATCTGACTCCCAATTTACCTTTGAAATTTCTCTTTTACTCCTCTCACCCTTCTTCTCCATCTTATCCTGTCTTACCTCTTCCTTAGTGTTATATTGTATCTGTTTATCGCCCCTACCTTCTCTAGACTTAAAGCTCTGTGACACCAAGAGTAGATTTTGTTTTATTGTATAGATGTAACCCTTGTGGAACTGTGCTCTGTGCATAAAGACACACCAAATAAGCACTCAGTAAAGGAAGCCTGTGGGCACTGCTAAACAATTGCACATGTAGTTGTAGAATCAAAGTACATTGAGGATTGAATTGTGTCTCTGGAGGGTAAATGAATCAGCAGGCCTTTTTACGTGCTCCCGTCAGGGGCGTGGATGCCTGTGGTCGAGGCCTGAGTGTGGAGCACACGCACCTGTAATTATGGACATCGGGGCCGGAGGGCAGGGGTGTGCGCATGTGTAAATGCTCACACCTGTGCCTAGCAGGCAGCAGCAGCAGGCACTGCAGGAGGACCTCTGAGACTATGGAAAAAGCAAGGAGATTCCTGGGGGGCTGGGAGACTGCCTGGCCTGCCTGCAAGCTGGCCTGCCTCAGTACCTGATTCCCTGAGAGCATGAAAGGCCTGTAACATCCAAAATCCACTGAGGGCTCCAAAACTCTTAATCCGTCTGCCCGAATCGACCGTGAACCTGCCTTGTGTGTGTGCTTGCACTGCAGCCTGCCAAAAAGGTATGTTGAAGGCCTAGTGCCAGTCAGTGCCTGTGACTGTGACCTTATTTGGAAATAAGGTATTTGCAAAGCAAACGTCCAGTGATAGTGTTCTTAGAAAGAGAGGAATTTGGAGAAACAGACACATCAGAGAGATGAGACCATGTGAAAACGGAGGCAGAGGTTGGAGTCATGCTGTCACCAGAAGCAGGGCCAGACAGGAGGAATCCATTCCCCTTCAGAAGGAGCAGGGCTCTGCTGACTGCTTAATTTTAGATTGACAGCTGTGATAGGATGCATTTGTTGTGTTAAGTCACCAAAATTGTGGAGTTTGTTGTGGCAGCCCTGGGAAACTTAGACAAGGGGTGAAAAGCAGTTTTTCAAGTTAATGGAGTGATCAATGAATTGATCCAATTAAATGCCAGAATCAGAATTCATTCTTCCTGATTCTCTATATGCTTTCCCCTAGACCAGTACTTCTCAACTCTATTTTCATTATTAAACACCCAAATAGACTTTTCCTCAATTACCCCCAATGAAATACTAATATAGTATATCTGTATAGATATCTGTTTATATAATGTTTATATAATGTGACACTTTGAAGGGTCGCAGATCATTCTCATTTAAGTTTTTTCTACCCAACCCCACTTCCCAAAGATCCTGTTTTCATTCCTTGAGGAGAATGTTGCCCCATTGGTAATGCACACACTGGATTATAATAATCTGATAACAGCAATAAATGAAATACCTATTTTTCTGTAATCTGAAAAAGAATTTTAATTATGGTACGATCATGAACTTTTTAACTCTAGCCTATGATAGGATTATGATTCTCCTCCCTCTCTCAAGAGAGGGCATATGACTTTTACAATGTACTGAAATGTGAATGGATTCCCAGGTGTCAAATCTGAGTAGCTTTAAAGAACATGTTCTCCATCTCACCTCCTGTACCTGCAGTTCTGGAAGAACAGGGTAGATGGAGTATTCCATCACAATAAGCCTGAGTCTGAGTGATGGGCAGTTTCCTTGTCACTCACTGCTTACTGTGTATGTGAGTGAGAAATAAACTTCTGTAGGGAAAAGCCACTGAGATTTAGGAGTTGTTTGTTTCTATGGATAAACCTACTACATTCTGATTAATACAGTATTGCACAGGGGAAAAATGCATAAAATTAACTCTTCTCATTTTAATTTTACATAGTCCTCACGAAGAAAAACTCCAGTAAAGTTTTAAAAGATAATTATATTACTTTTCTGAGTTTGTTGTTTAATATTTAACTTCTTACTAGTCTTATTACATATTAAATTTTAAAACAGATATAAAGCAAAGGCTCTCTGCCTGAGAATTCTAAGTTAGAAGTTTAATTCAAATATAAATTGACATGTGGGTAGATGTATGGGTTGAAGAAAGACCTGCCAGCACTCTCTGAAGACTCAGTGGTTCTCTGTGTCTTCTTTGCAAGGTGCATACGGCTGGACTTCATCACCAGTGAAAGATGCAATTATGTGTTGTTGGCTTTGTGTGACCTTTTCCTGAAAGAATCATGGTACCCAACTTTTAGCACATGTATTCCTTAAGTAATTTTAACATGCAGAGGCGATGAGAAGGTCAGACAATTACAAGTCTGCCAGCTGATGTCAGTGAAATGCATTAGATGTCAGTAGAATTTCAATTTCAGAAATTAGGAAAAAGGACATAAAGCTACAGTATAGCTGGGGTGAGGCCAGAGGCATGCAGGGAGTATGCTAAATAACCCCTGGGAATCCAGCAGTGCAGCCAGCCTTCTCAGAGAGGAAAGAGTAAAAGGCCATGTTTTCGAAAGCAAAAATCTAGGATTTTTATCTGTAGATACCCTATTATAGGATATTTGCTTGTATGCAAATGTTTCTTTTTCTGGGAAGCTGTAGTAGACAGTCACCCCAGGCCAAGTTCGTAGGCAAGACAGGGGCCTGGGAGGCTGGAGAGGCAACAGTGCCTCCCAGCGCCCTGCTAATCTCTGGAGTCTTTCTCTGATCTCTCTCTGGCATTCTCAGTCTGGCATTCTGGTCTCGTGGTCTTGCCGTCTCACCTCAGAGGGGTCCTCTCATCAAAGTGGTCCCTTCTAGTAATGTGCTCCTTTTACCCTTGGCCTGTTGGCACAGGTGCCTGCACTTACACACGGGCACGCTGGCGCTCCCTGGGCCCAGGTGTCCATAATCATAGATGCGTGCCCCACGCTCACGCCTCTTGGCCTGGACACCCACACTTGCAGCAGGAGGGTGTAAAACTGCCTGATTTTTTAACTTCATTTACCCTACAGAAGTCAATGGCCTTTTAAAATCAAATATGCTTATCCACGCTTAGATTCCCTAAAAGGTTATTTAAACCCATAATGAGAGAGCGCTTTTCACTTGGGCGATTTGGAGCTCCCTGTCAGGTAGAAGCCACTTCCCACTGTGGAACCTGAAGTTTTCACATTTTCCTTCCAGAGGTCACGTGATCTCTGCCAATCAGCTCTGGCTTCCAGAACTTTCTCTTTTGAGTTGATGCTACAAGGGTGAGAGAAATTGAGAGGTAATTTTATTTCACTGTGGACTCTCCTGAACGATTATTTTGCCCAAACGCTTACCCTGGACTTTCTGCTTTCAACTCTCCAGTTTTCACTGGGTTCCTGTCCATTTTCAAACTGCTCTTCCATGTTCAACTCCTCTGTGTGAGTCCAGTGACTTTTCTTTTGCTTAAGATGCCAGATTTGAATTCTCCTTGCAACC